GAGAGAGAGAGAGAGAGAGAGAGAGAGAGAGAGAGAGAGAGAGAGAGAGAGAGAGAGAGAGAGAGAGAGAGAAGGGTGAAGTGGGTGCGGAGAAAGATGGTATTTGGCATTCCTGTACTTGCATTGTGGGAAGATCCTTTTTTTTTTTTTTTTTTTTTTTTTTACACTGGAAGATCCTTTTTAGTTGACAACTTGACAGAAAATTACATATGATAATATGATATGATATGATATGATATGATATGATCTGCTGCGACTCCCAGGAATGCACAAGTGGCTGTTGCAGGGAACCCCACTTTTCAGTCCATAGGTTAACCCACCAAACACTGGAAGCAGTGAAAAGGGCATTTAGGGATTATTTTTTTCGTGCTGCTCCCCACGAACAGATTGGAGCATTTTGTCAAAAAAAAAAAAAAAAAAGGGATTTTTATTTTTTTTAAATCATTTTTATCTTCTTTTTTGTTTTGTTTTGGAAAGTGATACATTGTATTGCAAAATTCATAGGAACGAGGCCGGGGACCTCACAATTCGACCCGGGGCCAAGTCGCACTTAATACGCTGATTCTTCATTTCTGGCCGTTGATCTTCGTAATCTACGGTCAGAAATTGAGAATTCGGGTAAGTGGGACTTGGCCCCCGGAATGTCACGATGAACGTCACTTCTGGAAACCGGGTCCAGAGTCCCATTCCTAAAAGAGAAAACACAGCTTCCCAAAAATATCCCTGAAGCACAATGTCGAGGACCAGCTAACCAAATCTTTAACCGTAAAAAAAAAAAAAAAAAAAAAAAAAAAAAAAAAAAAAAAAAAAACACTTTAACTGTAGTACGGCCCAGATCCAGATCCAATTGCCCGTCCAATCAAAACAAACTTGACTCAACTCTGAAGAGGCGCTACCAGTCGTTGAGTGAGGATCGTCCCCCCTCTTTTGTGTAATCTTGACCAGCTGGTTGCTGGTTGTGTAGCGCCCATGTTCTCAGAAACCAGGGCAGGGGTGGCCTTTCCCCTGGCTCACCGGGCACTTTTTCCAATCTGCGAGGATCATTAGCCTTATATCATTGCAGATTTGATGATGATGCTGTTGGACAGTGACTTCCTCCCCCCCCTCCTCCCCTGAACACAGCTTTGTTTCTCACCTGCGATGTATTATACATAATCACCCCTCTGCACACCAGGGCCACGTATCCCCCACCCAGCACTGTAATTCCATTCCTGAGATGGCAGTGATGCTTAAAGTATCCAGTCGTCGGGCCAAGGGAAAGAGCCCCGCGTCCATGCAGCCCAGAGTTGTATCCACCATAGCCAGATCTCATCCGAAAGAGGGCAGTGCACCCAAATATGGGCATTTGATTCCCAGCCCCAGTCACATCTCTTACATGTGATTGATATTTCCATGCCCTTGGATGCTAGCCACTGGCGGGACGGGACCACCACCACCACCAGCGACTGTAGCCACATTAAACCGGCCTTCTGCTTTTGGCAAGGAATGGATCGTGGTGATTTCCATAAGGGTTTCCACTCTGGCTGGTTGCAGTAGGAGCCTTTCAACTCTCCCATCCTGTCAGCGGCCAACCTAACGGGTGTGATTTCAGCTTTAGATTATATATATAGACAGTTCTATTTGACGATATATAGACGATATATATATCGTCACAAATAGAACTGCCCGGTAAACCGTAGGCAGAGAGAGAGAAGAGGACAACAAACGAGGGGCTGTGACAAACTGTTTCGTCGGAGTTTCACCGACTCATATATATATAATTTGGCTATTTGCTGTA